GTGTGCAGTAAGCATCTTCTGGGAGAGAGAGCATATGACGGCGTTAAAATAACTCTCTGGTGGACTCCACACATTAAACTTGGTGGATCTAAGCAAATGAAGAAAGAGGGTGTTTGCCACTGTCATAAAGTTGGTGTCTCTGATGAAACGAGAGACCAATTCCTCTTCACACTTTCCAGCAGGTGGGCCCACCTGCAGGGGTTGATCCTAGCATCTGGAAGTAAATTCAGAAGCTCAAAGTTCACCTGGTCTCTATTATTTTTTCCTGCCAAAAGATCCCACACTTGTGCTTATTAGTCCCCAGTCACAACCAGCAAGCAGCTTAGCCCCAGGGAACCCACCATTCAGGTTCCTCGGAGAGCCTCTGGATGCAGACCAATCCTAATTTGCAGTCACACATCTCACAGAAGCCCAGGCTTTCTTCCTTTTCCCCCTTCTGTATCACATTTTAGTGGCTAAACTAGACCTTAAAACCATCTACCACTGAGCTTGCTAATTTGTCAGATTTGGGAGATCATATGTGAAATACCAGTTGACTTTGATACAGATATCCTAACGGTAATATCTTTGTCCAAAGACAGGATAGTGATAACCACCATTCAAAAATATACCTGCCAAATTCTTGGCAGCATGAGCAAGTGTCACTGGGTCAGGGTTGCTGCAGTGGGCACTAATGCTACTGCTTCTCCTTATCCACATGTGTCCCTTGCTCTTATTGGGGGGGGGGAAGAGGCCAAAACACTGGCTATAACTATTTACTGTACCCATTGCTGAGTTAGAAGCTAAGTCCTCAGGGATGCCTAGAGAGGTGTGACGAGCAGTGTATCTGATGGGGCCTCTCTATTCATTCTCCACCGTCAAGTCTGTCTCACCAGCCATTTCCTACATTCTCAGAGACCCTGTAAACCTGCTACTGATTGAGAGAGAGAGAGACAGAGACAGAGAGAAAGAGAGAGAGAGAGGGAGAGAGATTCTTGAACCATTTACCCCTGTGTTCCTACAATGGCAAGAGTGTCCCTGTCCCTTGTGAAGGAGTATGGAATTAGACATGCATAGGACAAGGAGGAGCTCTGGAGAATGTGGGGGACACAACAGCTATGATTTTAACTTTTAATTTTAGTACTTAAGACTATGTGGTAAAGGCCCAACTAAAATTCTTGGATAATATGAAGCAATACACCAGGTAATGGGGAAATGTCATCAGATGTACACAAAAGATATGGTGGCAGATTCTAAGGAAGCATTCTTCCACGGTGTTAGGAAAACGGTCATGGCCATATCAGTAAAGGGTCTGAAAACAAAAGGCAAATACTTTATTTCAGAAGCCACCAAATGAATGGTAAACAAGGATTTATAAAATAAGATTATGTGACTAAAATGGAATCCCTGTATATGGCATGAAGACAGTCACTAGTTACCCTTGGTTCTCTCCTTCAAAAGTCTCAAAATGTCTACAACAATCCCACCATATCTATTTTCCAGATTTCATGATTTCCCGAAGCTCTTCCCACAGCATCTGACTTTTGGTCTTATGAATAAATAAGGCAAAAATTATAAAGACAGCCATGCATATGCTGTAACAGCATTGTAACACAGTTATGTGTCATTAATTACCACACCGCCCATCTTCTTCTGATGTTCTGTTCATTTTGGAAATTCTTGCCTGTGTGTGTGCAGTTGATTTGCTATGACATATGTTTATTTTTTAACTTTCAGCTGAGTCTTTGCTCAGTAATACAAGTCCCTGATTCCATGGCTTCATTGAAGAAATTCAAATTCAACTTCTGTCACATCTTTTCAGGAACTAATGTTCTATTGGAGTTTGGCTTCTTCCTGTTATAGCTATAATACGGAAAAGGCATCAGAATCCTCCCTCCCTCAGAATCTCTCCCTCCCTCCTTCCTTCCTCTATCCCTCCCTCCCTTCCTTCCTTTGCCTTTTCTATGTAAGTGTCCCCAGAAGCTACCTTTCTGTAGACTCATGTTTCCTAGGCACTAGACTACATTTTTGGCAAACTCCTTAGATAAATAAGTGTGAACACACTGCCAGCTCTCTCACCACCACTGTCTTATTTTTAATAAGCAGAATAAACTGTGACATTTGAGTATCCCTTTGGAGTATTAAAGGCCTTCTGAACTGTTCTGGAAACTAAATTGTGATTTGTCTAAAGAAAGGGAAATAAACAATTATTCCTTCCTGGTAATTCTGAGTAGCAAAGTTGTTGTCCTACTTCATTCCTTTCTCCCTGTCACTAAGACCAGGGTATATCTCTGTTGTGGAATATTAGTTTATGATGTGTTATATTCATTCATGCTGTGGAGTATTTGTTTAATGATGCAAAGATATGTTGCATTCTTTTATGTTGCATTTGTTTAACTCTGTAAAGCTGTGTTACTTTGCCTGCCTAAAACACCTGATTGGTCTAATAAAGAGCTAAATGGTCAATAGCTAGGCAGGAGAGAGAAATAGGTGGGGTTACCAGGGAGAATAAATAGGAGAAAGTTAGACTTGAAAGAAGAGGGAGGATCGAGAAAAGGAAAAGGAGAGGAGGATGGCAGGGACCAGCTAAGGAGTAAGAAGGAAAGAAAGATATATTAGAGAAAGGTAAAAAGCCCAGAGGATAATTTAAGTTTTTTTTTAAAAGCAGGCTAGAACAAGCCAAGCTAAGGCCAGGCATTCATTAGTAAAAATAAGTCTCCATGTATTATTTGGGAGCTGGATGGTGGTCCCCCAGAGAGTTTTTAAAAAACTACATCTCTCTCTCTATCTCAGAGCTCATGTTTAACATACAGAGTGCACTTTGCAAATGTCGTGCCCTGCATATTCTAATTTGGATCATGGGAAGAGAAAACAAGTTAAACGTAATAATGTCAATATTTAAGTCAATCAAAAACAGGTAATGGGACATAATACAACTCCCTTTCCAAACTAAGCCCGTTTGTGGTGATCAGTGTATCAAAACACACATACATACCCTACTATGTATGCTGTGGTCAGTTAGTGTGCTTGTTTGGGATGTTACCAGTATGACAAAAGTGTCGTAAGAAAATTTGCTGTGTGCCTTTGCTTAACAGCTGTCCAGTGCACATTGTTTCACCAGGACCATCAGACTAAGTATAGCATGATTCACATAGCTTCAAAACCCAGATATACCTCTATACACTTCTATACCTGTGCAAGCCACCTACCTATTCACAAATGAAAAGAATACTTTCCCCCTTGCCTAGCAGGTTCAATAGGTCATTTCAGTGCTTGCTTCCTTCTTATCTCTCTCCTCCATCCTTTCGGCATTCTAGAAACAGGTAACTATATTGCCAGGTAACTATAACTCATATTTTTCATATACAGTAAATTTCCTAGAATGTAGAGGCACAAATAACTCAAACCTGCCTGGCCTAATGGCTGAATGTAGAGGTAGCTCTCAACTCCAACTTGCCAGGTGGAAAGTTGTTCCAGATTCTCATTATGGAACAGTATGACACATCCTCATCCTTTTATGTAAAACAAGTATTGGATGAAGGCTGCTAGAACAATCCTATCCTGACCTCAGAGGGCCCTGGGGTTCATCCTGTGCTCAACACTTTAACTGGGTCTCAGCTATACCATATGACCATCATAGACCTGTCTGAATGGCTCATCTGTTACCAGCATAACCAACAGGACTTGGGCCAAATTGGTAGGAATTATATCCCTGGGTGTGCTTAAGACCAGGAACAAGAAACACGGGCACTCTTCTGTAGAACGGAACCTCAAAGAGAAACAGGTGATGCCAATAAAGACAAACTGGCCCAGCAGAAACTAGGTCTTTTTTTCCTCTTTAGATGGTGCAAATCTATAGCTTTTTAATTTAGAAATTACAGCTAGCTCAGCAGTTAGAAACAGATACTGCTCTTACAGAGGACCCTGGCTTCCTCTCCAGCACCCATGTAGGGCAGTTCATAACTACCAAGAACTCCAGCTCCTGGGAAGCTGACACCTGACACCGTCTTCTGAATTCCTTATGTATATGCATCCACATGTCCATTCTCTCTCTCTCTCTCTCTCTCTCTCTCTCTCTCTCTCTCTCTCTCTCTCTCTCTCTCTCTCTCACACACACACACACACACACACACACACACACAGAATTAAAAATAAATAAAAGTTACATTTAAATAGAAATCTAAAAATTCTAGAACAAAGAAATAATGTGAAATAAATCTTTGAGTATGTGGTAAAATGAATTTGTGGAACACCTAAACCTATTTTGGGCTTGCAGCTCACAAAAAGCCCCTGACTTTCTTTTCTCCATCAAAGAAGCTCGAAAACATTAAAACAGCAAACCTCCCGTGTATAATAGTGAGGATAGTGAACTCTAATGTGATACCCAGGGTCCCGGAGAGCGCTCCGTTTGTGCCCTGCAGAAAGGTCCTAGGAAGGAACAGTGGCAATGTGGAGGTTTTCAGTACACCTGGCATCGTAAGGATTCTAGACACGCTGCTGGGCCTATAAAGGCTGCTCGCTCTCGCTGGGTTTTCACCTCCTTCCTTGACACCCCCTTCAATTCCTTCCTAAGACTCCTCTTCCACCTCCAGCTGTGGAGGCCCAGAACTGGTTTGTGACTGGTCCAAGTGTAGCAGTTGAGAAAGCATGGCTATAAAATGAACTGTGCCCCTCCGTTTCCTATTTCATTCCTCTCTCCCTGTCGCTAAGACCAGGGTGCCTATCTCTACCCCAGAGCTCATGTTTAACATGTAAAGTACACTTTGCAAATGTCCTGCATGTTCTAATTTGGATAATGGGAGGAAAAAAACAGCTCCTCTGAGCACCAATTTCACGTCATTTAACCCCAGCGGTCCCTGGGAACCAACCCCTCCCCACCCTCCCTTTGCTAGCCGGATCCTTTGCTAGCTCCAGTGTTTGCATTAATCAGCTGCATAGGCTCAGAGACTGTGTGTTTTGGTGTTGTTTGTGTGTGCAATCTCGTGCTGCTTCCTGAACGCATGTGTCCCTTCCCTTCACAGCCTACTCGACACCCAGCACCTCCCCCGCAAACCGATTCGTCAGTGTTGGACCACGGGATCCAAGCTTTGTAAATATCCCTCAACAGACACAGGTGGGCCGCTCTATCTTTTCTGTATGTGGTGCATCTTGTTTTATTCATCAGGTGCAGTTTAATGTGTCTTGGGGCACACCAGGCCACATGCCCCAACCCTTCTTCTGTTCCTTTCCTCCTGACCCCATCCCTCCGAGCCCCGTAGCCATGTTTTCTCTGTTCTCGGGAACCACAGGCGGTGTTCCTGGGATCTTTGCGTCTGGTATTGGGGTAGGTGAGGGGGGGCTTCTGGGCTTTTGCTAGGCTAGACTGTGTATTTCCTCCTTGAGGCAGCCATGGCTCTCCAGCTATAAGCAGACAGACATGCGCCCCATGGAACCTGGTTTCCATGGTATCGAAGCACATGTGGAGAGGGAGACCAACCACTCCTCTCATTTTATGGCCCCAGGAAACTGGCAAACTTTCTAAAAGAAAGGGGGAGGGGGACAAAGGGTTTCTAAGCTCTTTATTAAGTTACTGATGTTGGTTCCAAGGAGGTGATTGCTGGCCGCTGGGAAGCAAGGTGCAAAGTCATATCGAGGTGGCTATTTGAAAGCAGAGTCCAGAGTACCCAGAGCTGGCTGAGCACAAGAGAAAGTTGTGTTTGGGTTTGTGTAGGCTAAGAAGAGCTCTTTTACAACATAAGTCGAGAAGCGACAAACCTCTGGGTTCCAAAGCTTGTGTGTAGAGGCTTGTTGAAATAGAATCAGGTCCGAGTTTGTAGAATAAACTACTCCTCCATATCCTAACTAGAATATGACCATGCACTTTCCTAATTGACTCTAAGAAGTTATTTTGTCCGTGAGCTTCTTAGCATGGTTTGAAATTTTCTCCCTGTGGTTCTGGGCATATGCTCAGCTGTGTGACGTCAGCTGCCTTGTTTATACGTCGGGTGCCTCCTGAGTTATTTCCTTCTTACAGGGTCTGCCTTACTGTACGTATCCTCAGTGCTGCTTCTCCCTCCTCTCTACATTGAAACAGCACCCCAGAAAGTCCAGAACTAAGCCAAAAGGGGAGGGCCTGTGAAGAGGGACAACTCTCCTCTTGTATCCCCCACTTCTGCTGTTTCTTCTAAATCTGGCTTGCACAATGGTGTCTGAGATTAAAAGCCTTACTTGGTAAATTCTCATAAAATTCTCCCACTTAATTTGCTTATTTTCCCACACCTCAGATATTCAAGTACTTTACTGGTAGTTTGAAGTTGTACCATGGCCTGAGAATATCTGTCTCAGACGATGGCTTAGCTTTGTGATTTGGACTTCTGTGTTCTGGCTCAGGGAAGGGTAAGCCAGCAGGCCTCCCCCAGCTCTATTGGATGGTTTTTTTGTGGTTTTCAAAGCTTGGGCATACTCAGTTTGATTCACTGAGAACCTGAAAACCGCAACTTTGAATTATCTTGTTAGTATTTTGCATGATAGTTTATACAAGCTAATTCACATCATCTAAACTGTACGTGTTCCGTTTGATTTATCTTTCTATAATGAAAATGTGTTTTTTCCAGTATTACTTTGTTTCATAAGTGCCTTGTTTAACCCAAAGACTGAGTCTTCGTGATGTTTACCACAAAGCTTCAATTCTTAACAATCCAGATTTTGCACGCATCTGGGTGAATGATGTCATGTAGGTTCGGTATTGGCTTCTAGAATTGAATTCTTTTTGTCTTCCATTAAATATTTGGCATTGTGGGGACAATAGCTTAAATGTTTCTTACCGCAGTGACACCTGTCACATTTGGCTTGAAGAAAGCCATTCCTAATTATCTCATGAGAAACCATATGAGTGGAATTGTCTTTTTCCACACTTTATGTAACTATCTAGTCTTATGATTTAAAATAAAACTTATGTGCTGCAAATATTTCTATTTCATGATATATGTTACGTGTTAAGAATAAGCTGCTGTTCAAAGTTAGTATTAGATGTAGATGGTAAGTAACAATAGACCTTAAATACAGCTCCCTTGTAGGAAGTCATTAATTGAAAGTTATTTTCTTACAGTGTGTGTGTGTGTGTGTGTGTGTGTGTGTGTGTGTGTGTGTGTCTTGGTTAAGGTTTTATTTCTGTGAAGAGACAACATGACCACAGCAACTCTTATAAAGGAAAACATTTAATTGGGCCTGGCTTACAGTTTCAGAAGTTTAATCCATTATAATCATAGTGGGACATGGTCGCATGCAGGCAGATATGGTACTGGAGAAGTAGCTGAGAGTTTACATCTTGATCTGAAGGCAAAATAAGGAGTCTGTGTGCCACACTGGCTTTAACTTGAGCACAGGAACCTCAAATCCCGCCCTCACAGTAACACACTTCCTCTAACAGTGTCACCCCTACTCCAACAAGGCCACACCTCTTAATAGTGTCCCTCCCTATGGCCAAGCATTCAAACACAGTCTATGGAACCATACCTAGTCAAACCATCACTGTGTCTGGGTGTGCGTGTGTGTGCGTGTGTGTGTGTACGTGCGTGTGTTTGTGTGTGTGTGTGTGTGTGTTGTACAGGTGATTACCTCACAGATGCTAGGCTCTACCATGTGATCCCAAGTCTTGTTTTTACTTTTCAAAAACTTTTAAAGCAGGTTCTCACTAAATTGCCTAGGCTGGCTCTGAACTCACTCAGTTCATGGTCTCCTGCCTCAATCTTAAGTAGCTATTCTAATAAGCCTGAACCACCAGTCTTGCTTATAAAATTTTTAACAATATATTTTCAACACCCACAGATTCTTCACTTCCTAAGCAAATGTGTGGTTGTCATTAGACAGCTTTGCTGAAAGGCCTAAAAATTGGTATTACTTGAAATTTAGGAAAAATTTCCAAGGCAATCAGAAGTTTGCTCTCTGAACCAGTAAAGTTGAAACTACTCAGACAGATGTTTGACTTGTCTCTGCCTTTGTATGAGTAAAAGTTGGCATCATCCAGACAGATGTTTGATCTAACGCACAAGCGCCAGGAGTGGTAGCCCATGCCTGTAATCCAGCACTTGGGAGGTTGAGGCTGGAAGATTGAAGGTTCCAGACCAGCCCAGGGCGGATGATGAGATCCTGTCTTAGAACAAAACAGAACAATCCAACACTAAATTTATGAACGGATGTGAGATGAAATGGTCCTTCTTTTCCCCCAAACCCAGTTTCTGGTAGAAATCTCTTGGCATTCCTTATGCCATCCTATTTATTTGCTGATTTCCCCATACCTTCATATTCAGAGATTTTTCTGGTGAGTTTGAAAGTCGCATAATTACTTTGAAAACATCTATCTTAAAATATGAGTTTTACACATACAATGGAATAGTTGTCATTGTTAAAAATGAAGGGCATCCTGATACCATAATATGGATGAATCTAGATAACATTATGTTAAGTTGCATAAGTCCATCACCAAAAGATAAAATCTATTTTTAAATGGTGACTTTATCTTATTCAGCCATGGTGCATGTTAATTGTGGGAAATACAGATGAGAAAAAGTAATAAAAATCACTAGTAGTCCTACTGTTGATGTTTCTATATAAATTCATCCTGGCTGTTTCTACACATTTGAGTACATTGCAAAACTAAGGTCGGATTACATGCACTGTTTAGTAACCTGCGGTTTCTTCTGCTTAACAATGTATAATGACCTTCTTTCCATGTAAATTGGAAAAATTGAATATTGGCTTTTATTACACCTATTCATCATCAGCAGTGATTGGTGGAGAACGATAGCATGGATAATTGAAAGCTGGTGTTCCCCCTCCTTCCCAGCCAGTCTGTATTTTCTCCAGAGAGTTCTCCCATCATTGAGGGACAAATGCATGCCTCTTACACCTATGGGAGCCCGTTTCCATTCACACTCCATCCAGTTGCCCGGTACATCACACCCTGACTTCTGGCTCTGGGTGGACGTTCTGCCAAGTGATCTGTCCTCTTCTTCCACCCAGCTCTTCTCCTTGCTTCCTCTGCTACTGTCGTCTGGCCCTCACCTTACTCCTCCATACATTGTAGCTGTTCTCACCGGGAGATGTGGCTGACTCCCTGTGACCTATGGAAAGCCTACCTGTTGTGAGAAACTGTTTCTCACGTCACCCCCAGAGCGCTTCCTTTTCAGTATCTCCCCGTGATGGTTGATGCCAACTCATGGAAAATTTCCTGAGTATTTTCTGTCTTAGTTTTGATCTGCCCCACTCAGCCCTGAATGATACAGACCCTGTCACTCTTCAGATAGAAAGCTGGGGATCATTGTAACTGCATTCCCTGATCTAATCTGACCTCCAAACACAAGAACCATTATGGACAGGCATTTTCTTAGAGCGGAGGGGGAAAAAAGTTCACATTTAACAACCAGTTAATAAATAGAAATACCAATTCTCACACAGGCGGACTGAGCAGAGAGCACATCTTGATTCTGGTTCTAGTTTAATCTGACTGTTACAATAAAAAAAAAGTTTAACCTACAGAACTCTGATGAGGATGAATCCCTTACAATGAAAAATAAATGCTAACAGTATTAAAAACAAGCATTTTCTCTCTACCACCAGACCTGTCACCATTCTGTATCAACAGAGATGTGGTATCTGAAATGCTACCTAAAACCCCAGGAGATTCAACTTTGGTTCTAATTTGCTGAAATTTAGCTAAATAAATCTTAGTTGCCTCACCCCCACACACTGCCTACAATGTGACCACCTTGGTCTCGAGTTCACAGTCTATGTCTGAGACTCACAGTCATCCAGAAAATTTTCTACAGGGTGGACCATGGCAATAACACCCATTGCCGTACCTATTTCCCAGGACACACACTCTGCCACCTAGATAGGCATGCCCATGGCAGCCAGCCTGCCACCTTGGATAGGCATTCACAAAGAAAGTGAAGCATAGAGATGTGAAGAGGTTTTTCAGTCCACACCCAATCTTGGTGTCATGTTCCTGAGGCCTGGCTGAGTTCCTAACCACAACTGAAGCAATCTGCAAAACTCTTTACAATTTCAACCACTTTAATGTTTGTTTAACTGTTTATTATATCCCTTAACACCTACAAAATGCAAGGAATACCA